GTCCCTGTCGTCCTCCGAGTGAATAATCTTGCAGCCTCGTTTGCAAAGCAGGTTAGCTCCAGAAAGGGAATCAACCAACGGATGGATGCTCCGAATGTTTTATGTATGCGGACCAAGGCCTTTTGTCACATGCGCCCACTCTTTCATTCTCCATTTTGCTGAAGGTTGCATCTGAGGCTGGATTTACACCCCGTGTCGAAAGTGGCTAAATGCTAAATTCGATTTACATCTATTTTCAACTTTTCTATATCCAATAACTCTCGGTTTATTTACTGAATACTTGAAACGACACACACACACACACACACACACACACACACACACACACACACACACACACACACATACGCCGTGTCTCAAAGTGCAAGTAGTCTCACTAAACAGGTGTCAACATTTGGCACAGGCAACACAAAGTAAATCAAAATACTGAATCATTTAAGTCCCTGGAAAGTGAAACTAAATGTTTTCTGAATTTTGACACACCGCAGAGAAGAGTGTTAAAAAAAAATTGAATGAATAAAAAGATCAGTAAATGTATAAGAGGAGGCGTCAAGATCATGAAAAATCAGTGTCCACTCTCAAATGCTGTGGCCGTGTCACCTGAATATTTTGGAATGGTGCCCCAACCAGCTATCAGTTATCAATCAAAATGTCACTACTACAACCTGGAGAACGAATGCAACTTCATGTAGCTACTTATGCCTTGTTCCAGGTAAATGTCGCCTCCATTGCTGGAATATATCCCACACATAGACTCACATAAAAAAAAAAAAAACAAAAAAAACAAACGAACAAACAAACAAACAAAAACCCCACCACTTAAGCAAAAAATAAATAAACAAAATCTGGAAAACTAAATGCAGAAAACCAGTTTCCTGCTATATTGCCACAATTGCATTCAGTTGTTCTCAATCTTTGCACATTTTCAGCGAGTATCTCCAAACATATATAATGTATTGAGAAACAAATCTCAAAATTCACTTTATAGATCTGGGATGGGCAATTTAAATGCTGGAGGGGGCCACAATTTCATCAGTGCTATAGGTGGGGCTGTATAGGACAACATATTTCCTCACCATCTGTATGACAAGAATGTTGCGGGGATGTGATGAAAATATTTTAAATTATGATGCATATATATATATATATATATATATATATATATATATATATATATAGCTCTTTGGAGGGCAATTATGGTTAAACATGTATAAAGAACAAATCATCATCATCATCATCATCATCTTCATCAAATTATCTCCATTTTGTATTTACAAGTGTTAACACTTATAGCATTATGTGTTCGGTTGTTTGCTGCTGAAATGACCCATTTTACGCCCCACAGGGATTATTAAAATTTAATTTGATCCTCACTCCTCTCAGAGTTCTTCTGTAGGAGAAAGGGGGGGGGGTAGTCTCATCAGAGTTGACTGTTATCTATCTACCTATCTACCTATCTATCTATCTATCTATCTATCTATCTATCTATCTATCTATCTATCTAGCTATCTGTCTGTCTGTCTGTCTGTCTATTTATCACACTCCTGTCCTGTCACTTGTCTGTTTGAGATGTTTCAAATAAATAATGCACAAAAAAATAAATAACTACCTGACGCCTGAAGCTCTGGCGGCTTTGAATTAGCATCGCCAACGCTTTGTGACGCTATACACGCGGCGCATCAGAGAGTGAGTCAACTCGTCTTGTGATGGGGTGCACTAATGTACAGTGCAATGTTTCTTTATTTGTAGTTAAAAATATAGAGAGCAGTGACATGAAATAAGGGAGAGGAAAAAAAAAACACGCTGAGCTCCTCCAACAAGGATCTATGTTCAATCCCTCTAAAACATACCTGCTTTCATATCGCATTGCTATTATTGGAACATTTGCAGGATCTTTTTTTTTTTTTTTTTTTTGGTGTTGTTAAAGCAACACTATGCAGTATTTCAACTTTAAAATAGCAGTTTGAAGATGACGTTCAATTAAATGTGAGTTAGCATCTCTGTGGTGGATTTCCTCTTTTGGCGCTACTTGTTGGACACAAACGACAACAACTGATTGTGAGCTGAGGATTGGCTATCCTTTTGTTCGTGAGACCTGCCGCACACCAAGCGCATAAAGTTACAGTCGTCGACTCTTCGCCGCACACGAAGCGATAGAGCACGATGAATAACTGCAACCCCGTGTCGGGTTTTGAGGGTCCACGTGCAACATACTGCGGTGTGTCATTTTGAATTGAATCACAAAAACATGGTGCGATTGTCAAGGAAGAAGCAGATGGTCAAAAGGGAGACGGGCTGTTGGCACAGATCGATCTTTTCGTGAACCCTTGTGCATTTCTAATTGCCTGTTACATCTGTGACGTGAGCTGGAGATTCACATTAAAAGTGGTTGACGAGCGTAGATCACTCACAAAAACCCGTTGTCAAATCCCGCACACTCCGCTACAGTTCAGCGGCTTTCGGTGACATCGCTCAGTGTGCGGCGGACTTAAGTTAAAAGGTTAGGTGAAAAGCTAAAAGGTTCCGCTCAATTGATTAGACTCTGAACTTTAACAAATTATTTTTCAAAACTCTTACACCAATGCTGATTTATTTGTATGTGCTTATGGTTTTTATTTCCTGTTTTTATTTTTTCGATTCTTTTTACTGATTACTTCTTTTTGTTATTATCATAAAATCAACATCTTTCGCTGTTGATTTGTAATTAGTAACAGTCAAAGCAAGATGAAATTTTGCACCTGAAGGGGGAGCCCGGGAGCAAATGATTTACCAAACCAAAAAAAAAAAACAAATACAATAAACAAAAAAGTCACATACTGTTGCTTTAACATGTCTCTCACAAATGAACACGACAGCTTCGGAAGTCATCATTGGTTGAAAAACAACGTCCTTCCATGCACACAGTGTAATACAAATTTAATAAAATACACAAGTACAGTACAGTAGCCCACATTCACGTGTAAGCCCAGCTTATTTTCACACAAACAGCAGAGAAGACGACGATCAAATTACAAATACATTCTTAAAAAAATGGTTTCAGCAGAACCTCGAATGGTTTCGTGAAAAGGGACGTCCCCTGTTGCACCACCGTTACAGTTCATAAGACACTTCACTTTTTGTATGTTCACGCCACTGATATGTATGCGGTCGGGCCTTTGACTTTTCAAAGTGACGTTCTTTCAAACACTAAATGGAGACAGATAGCTTCACCGTTACAAAAGCGGACAGGACTCAATAGCTTAACAGTAGCAATTTTGTTCCAACAGCCACACAAAATTGGCGCTTGAAATGTGTAAAATACGGACATCTAAATTGACAGGTACAGTACACCATGGAAACACTTGAAGTCAGGTAAGCACTGATTGGCCCGCAAACCTTCACAGCAAAGAGTCAAGGACACAATTTTCACCGAAACACAACGAGTCACTGGGGATGGGCTGGCTGGCGATCAATTCATCGATTAACTGATCGTTCAGGTCGTATCGAGTGGGAATCGATTGATTGAAGCGGCAAAATGGCTTGGCCGCGGGTGGATGTTGACTCCGACGGAATTGCAGGCGCATCGCAATGAAGTGGAATCTTGTGGAAAACTTCATTCATTTCAGTAGGTTGATTCAAAAAGTGCGAGTCAGATAGAACGCATTTGTTGATTTTTTTTTTTTAATTAAAATGTATAGCTTAGAGCTCATGAAAACGATAAATTCCGCATTTCGACAAATTTACGTAAGGAAAAATCAGCAATGAACAGGCACTTACGTCACCGTTTTTGTGGTGAATCCTCGAAAATGATCGTTAAAAGTTTGACAGCACGCAACAACCGCATTAGTTGGCACTGGGGGGGAAAAAGTTACTTCGAACTGGAACTCATTTTGCGGCGAATCCCCCGTAGCAGGAGTTTGTCCTTGAATTTGACCAAATCGTCTCATTTGAACCAAAATTAATCACTCCCTCTTCAATTTTGTGCATGAGTTCTTGAGACCGCTCCGCTGTGACAGACGTAGATGCCTAATTTTGTGGTGAAACGATGAAACTGCTTTCGGGGGCGATTTGCTTTGTCTCACTCTCTGGGGATATGCTACTGAGTGACGTTTGGGTGCGTTTAGAACCCATAAAATAGATACATTTTCACCAGAAACCACACAGTCCAGCACATTTCACTTTTGGGGCAGGTGAAGACCCGCCCCAAAAAGGCATTTGAATTTCCAGAGTGTTTAATGAATATGTAGGTGTAATATATGACTTTCGGCATCGGACTTTGACAGTAATTTCAAGGATTCACCATGAGGGCCGTTCCAGCCAAAACAAACGGTTTCTTATGTAATCCTGTATTCTCATTTCTTCAGATGTTGAATTTGTGGATTTTCGAAAGCCGTCAGCTCTGATCATCCATCTATACTGTTTATCCCAATTAGGGTCACGGGTGAGCTGGGGTTTCATCAACTTTTCTACTGTGACGACAAAGTAATGAACAGAACTCGGACAATATTCGGATTCATTGAGATGCGCCCGTTTGCTGTCTAAAGAAGTACACCGTGACGTCAGTTTTTTTCAATGCCAACGGCCCATATTCTCTGTTCAATACACCACAAGCATGGCAACAGGAGTTCCGGACATTCAGAAAGAGATTCTTACAAAAAAAAAGGAAAAAAAAACCAAAACAAAAAAAAAAAACAATTAATCAATTGATTGGGCATTTTTTTTTTTTTTTTTTTTTTTTTTCTAACCCGAAAATGATCGTTAAAAGTTTGACAGCACGCAACAACCGCATTAGTTGGCACTGGGGGGGAAAAAGTTACTTCGAACTGGAACTCATTTTGCGGCGAATCCCCCGTAGCAGGAGTTTGTCCTTGAATTTGACCAAATCGTCTCATTTGAACCAAAATTAATCACTCCCTCTTCAATTTTGTGCATGAGTTCTTGAGACCGCTCCGCTGTGACAGACGTAGATGCCTAATTTTGTGGTGAAACGATGAAACTGCTTTCGGGGGCGATTTGCTTTGTCTCACTCTCTGGGGATATGCTACTGAGTGACGTTTGGGTGCGTTTAGAACCCATAAAATAGATACATTTTCACCAGAAACCACACAGTCCAGCACATTTCACTTTTGGGGCAGGTGAAGACCCGCCCCAAAAAGGCATTTGAATTTCCAGAGTGTTTAATGAATATGTAGGTGTAATATATGACTTTCGGCATCGGACTTTGACAGTAATTTCAAGGATTCACCATGAGGGCCGTTCCAGCCAAAACAAACGGTTTCTTATGTAATCCTGTATTCTCATTTCTTCAGATGTTGAATTTGTGGATTTTCGAAAGCCGTCAGCTCTGATCATCCATCTATACTGTTTATCCCAATTAGGGTCACGGGTGAGCTGGGGTTTCATCAACTTTTCTACTGTGACGACAAAGTAATGAACAGAACTCGGACAATATTCGGATTCATTGAGATGCGCCCGTTTGCTGTCTAAAGAAGTACACCGTGACGTCAGTTTTTTTCAATGCCAACGGCCCATATTCTCTGTTCAATACACCACAAGCATGGCAACAGGAGTTCCGGACATTCAGAAAGAGATTCTTACAAAAAAAAAGGAAAAAAAAACCAAAACAAAAAAAAAAAACAATTAATCAATTGATTGGTCATTGTGTTTTTTTTTTTTTTTTTTTCCACCGTCGATCAAGGAAATTATTCAATTGCCCATCCCTACGAGTCACTGAGTAAAAAACAAGGAAAGACACAAAGCAGATGATTTTTGGTTATACAATGTTTGGACCCCAAAGAAACAAAAAACAACCCCCCCCCCCACCCCCTCAAATCGGCCCCAATCACACACTTAAGAGCGCTTGCGAGGGTTCCGCCACGTCAGTTCCCCGAGTCCTGCTGCTCGTACTCCGACACACCACACTCCTGGCTGATGACGGCACTGTGAATGAGGCTGCTGGACAGTGCCTTGGGGCGGAGCTCGCGGGTCAGGTAGGAGGGCTCCTCCACCGCGGTGTGCAGCGGGGAGCACTGGCCGTCCGGAGGGCCGTAGGCACTGCTGTCTGAGCCCCCCTCCCGCTCCTCCTTCACATCTTGCTCGGCCGAGTCCAGGGCCGGTCCGCTCTTGCCGGGGCTCGCGGGGGCCGGCGGACTCTCCTGCAGGGGCGGGCACGGCGCACGCTGCGACTTCAAGTAGGGTTTGACGTTGGCCACCAGGACGGTGCTGTCCCGCTGCTCCTTCCCGAAGGTGCTGAGGGTTTTCCGACTGCCGCGGCTGATGGTGCCATAAATCTCTGTCTCTACCATGGCATCCATTCCCACGGGGATGAAAAGGTTGGTGCGATTATCTGCGCTGTCCGCTTGGCTTCCGATCCGTAACTTTGGCATCCAGCATCTGTCAGAGTGTCCCAGTGCACGACACTCATCGGTGCAGTGGACTGATTTGTCTTGTTCTGCAAAAACAGTTTAACATTTGTTACTCGGTCCCGCCGGGCTCCAAAGGAAAAAAACTACCGGCACATGTTGAGGGATGACTATCAATAATAAAAAAGTTCGTGAAAAAGAAAAGAATCAAGACTCGAAATACAGTCAAATATCTATTACCGGTATACATTAGTAGTCTAAATGATTCTAAATTCTGAATCGTCTGGAAATTTTTGCCTCCTTATGCCACCTGAAATTATACTACGTGACAAAACATTTACATGGACAGTCAAACCTGGATTTTTGACCATAATCCGTTCCAGAAGGCTGTTCGAAAACCGATTTGTTTGAAAACCGAAACCACACTCTTTTTAAAAAAAAAAAAAAATCTTTATTGAACACGTCTGCTCACAATGGAACGCTACACGAGGAAGTGTCACTTCCTCGTCTACCCGAGGAAGCATCACTTCCTCGTGTAAGGAAGGCGAGATGAGTCAAGTGGCGCATTCAAATGCGCTCAGTTTGGTCGAGAACCGATTTTCCGTCGTAATCCGAGGCATAAAAAACTCAAAATTTTTGGTCGAAAACCGATTTGGTCGAGAACAGAGACGTTCGAAAACCGAGGTTTGACTGTATCTCATTTCCGGTCAATCCGATGAGTGAATAAGTATGTGACATATCGACGTACCATGCATGACTTGAAATTTCGTGACACTAACAGAATTTCCAACAACAGTACAAAATGCTGAATTTTACCAGAAATGTTGCCTTCCACCCCCATCCCCACATCCCCACCCGCAAATGTACATAAAATGGATGCTGCTGTGTTTTGCAACAATGGCAGAGGGAGAATTCAGAACATGAAGGAATTTGTGCCTCGTGACGATGTTTTAAAATTATCATGGGAAACAAAAGATTTCTATTCTTGGAATTGCTGGTCAGTGCAAGACCTAGCTGAGTTGTGTGTATGTATATCTATCTATCTATCTATCTATCTATCTATCTATCTATCTATCTATCTATCTATCTATCTATCTATAGATAGATAAATAGATAGATATAGTTAGAGTGACCATTGTGAATGTCAGGGGAATTTTGCCACATTAAAGATGCCCAAACTGCCACACTTGACTTGAAATTCCTTCAACAAAACATGCAGATTTTCTAACAAAGACGGCACAAACATTTGGAACATTGTCGAAAATACACCACCTCATGAATTTTTAAACAATGATAGTGGGCAGAATGTCATTTTTGTCATTGATATTTGGGGAGTTTGACTGTCTCCTAAGAGAGTCTGCATAAAATACATATTACAGGACACGACTGGAAAACTACCAAATTAAATATGCTGCTTTTTAGGATAGTAGTACAATATTGGAGCTTGGAAACTTTGCATTCCACAATCTCCCTCATGGTGCCGCCTCAAAATGATGAAACAAAAGATTTCTATTCTTGGAATTGCTGGTCAGTGCAAGACCTAGCTGAGTTGTGTGTATGTATATCTATCTATCTATCTATCTATCTATCTATCTATCTATAGATAGATAAATAGATAGATATAGTTAGAGTGACCATTGTGAATGTCAGGGGAATTTTGCCACATTAAAGATGCCCAAACTGCCACACTTGACTTGAAATTCCTTCAACAAAACATGCAGATTTTCTAACAAAGACGGCACAAACATTTGGAACATTGTCGAAAATACACCACCTCATGAATTTTTAAACAATGATAGTGGGCAGAATGTCATTTTTGTCATTGATATTTGGGGAGTTTGACTGTCTCCTAAGAGAGTCTGCATAAAATACATATTACAGGACACGACTGGAAAACTACCAAATTAAATATGCTGCTTTTTAGGATAGTAGTACAATATTGGAGCTTGGAAACTTTGCATTCCACAATCTCCCTCATGGTGCCGCCTCAAAATGATGGTATGCAACAAAACAAAGCACATGAGCATCAGATTTATTATTTATTATTATTTTCCCCCCACTGCGGGTCAATGCAACAGTTGAGAGTGATTCATAATATTCATGAAGGTCTTTACCCCCACCCCCCACCTCTCCCCATCACAACCTGCGTAGGTGTTTCCTGGAAAATGTGCTTGTGGTGCAGGGGAAGCTTTTTTCTTTTTTTTTTTTTTATTTCTGATGCAGAAGCAGAAAAACAAGTACGGTAAACTGTGTGAGTTGCATCAGCAAAGACTGGCACGCATGACTTGCTCTCAATATTGTGTCGACGTCAATTTCAATTCATTCATTAAAACAGATTCAAGGACAGCTTGGACTTAGCATTTGCGGCACAATCGTTAGCCTAACCTCAGAGGGTGTCGGAACATATTTAATCAAGCAGAGAATTAATAGTGTGCGTATTGATTTCACCACTGTTAAAATGTCGATGGAATACATGTAAAATAGTGAGGCGAGGGAAAAATGCAAGTCAAATCGAAGATGCGCCCGACATGTCGTATTTTAGCATCACAACCGTCACACGTGTAAAAAGACATTCCATCCGTCTAATTCGTATCCTATACATCATCAGTGTCGAAGGTGAGCCCGAGTTTCTCCCTGCTGACTTTGTGCAGGAGGCAGGGTACTGGTCACTTGCCAATAGATGAACGGTTATTCCCATTCACACGTCGTTTAAAATGAACCCAAGATGCATTTTTTTTTAGAATGTTGAAGGAAGCTGGAGTACACGAAAAAAAAAAAAAAACCACTCAAGAAGACTTGACACAGAATGGCCTTAACTGAGAATCGAACTGTGAGGCAAACGTTCAAGCCACTGGACCACTGTGATACCCATAAAACGTTAAATGTTTATATATACAAAGAAATATTTTACACTGTACAGGATTACCTCAAAATTACAATCATGGTTATCATTTTACACTTGCAGCACAGTTACTGGTAATGTCAAAATTAAATGTAATGGAAGATGCAGCTTAGGTCAAGAGTATCTAAAGAATGGACTCAAGGACATTTTGAAATGAATTATTTGTGGTACAATCATGAACCAAAGGGTTTATTATCTATTTTACATATATATCATCCTTGTTTATCAAGAACAGAAATACATCATGCAGCCGTTTTGTGTCACACCTCTTCCAGAGGTGGTTTGAAAGTTCCGATTTTTGGCGACCCTCATTAAATTTTCACTCAGTGTTTCTGAGTTTCCAATGTTGAGTGGTACTTCAAAATGACAGTTGCCTCATCGTGCTATTTTCTAAAGGAGCGTTTAAAACATTTGTGTCAATTGAAATTCGCTCAAAATGAGAGTCAAGGACAAATTGGAGTTTGGCATTACCATTTGTGGCACAGTCATTAGCATACCACCCCCCCCTCCCTACTCCCCTTTAAGAGTTTGTTGCATCATAATCAGCTCCTTATTTGCATTTCCTGGCCATTTTTCATTTCACCTCATATTAGACGTGTCGTATATAATGACCCGTCCTTGCCACTAAATGACCTCATTTGCATGTGTGGAAACATGAAATGCAGGGGGAAAAAAACAATTATTTAATTCAGTAGCTGAATAGTTACGGGTGCAAATTAGCAATAAGTGGAAAACAATTACCTTCAAAACACATCAACTGGCGGCGTGAATTTCATATTTAATGGTGGATATTGCCCCCCTCCCCCCTCATCCAACCCCCCACCCCACCCCAAGTGATGCGACCTAACAGCCTTTTGAGTGTTTGCATGTGACTCCTCTCCATGGCCAAAAACATGTCAGGCTAATTGGTGATTGCAATTTGCCTGTAGGCTTGTATGTGACTTGTTGTCTGTCCCGGTATGTCGGCCCCCGTCATTGACTGACGACATGTCCGCAAAGACTCCGGTTGAAAAGTACAAGGACCAAGCTATAGATAATGAATGAATAAGAATATGCGTCTCGGTGCAAAAAGAGCACACTGATCTAATGTCGTTCTCTGCGCGTATTCCTCACACGTGACTCCGCTAGTGCGTGAGCGCAAACCAAATAAGCACACGGGAATGAGCCACTTGTTATTGCAGCAATTACACCGCAATCAACATTTATGTGACGCCGGCGCAATAAGTATTAGTGGTTTGAGGCAACGTGTTACAAATGTCTGCGCAAATGTCTTGCCAAAACAAGCATTCCATAACAGTTGTTGTGGACGGGTTTTTTTTTCTTTTTTGGTCCATAACGTAAACATGAAGCGGCCCATTCCGACTGGAAAGCACAAAGTTATTCTTCTTGCTGCTCGCCTGCCTGCTTTAATATGGCAATAATGATTAATTAATTGCTGGAAATTATGTCATTTACTCACAAAGGCTCTCCTCCAAATATGAATGAGACACTTGAAGGATAATGAATGAAACAGAGACCCTGATGTGGATGCCTCCGCGTGAGTTTTCTTTTTGTTCAAAAGGAAACTTCCTACCCTTCAGTATGCTGGCCAGGGAAGCTCCCGCAAACAAAAAGAAACAACATGCGTGACAGGAGATGTGGGAAGAAAGCAGCTTCAAGTGCCGAGCTCACTTTCAGGAGAGTACAAGTACAGTAGTTGTTGGTCCGGGGACAGGGAAACACGCAGAATTCTCGAGCCTCAGGGGCTGCCTACAAGACAGCGTTTTCACTAAAAACGCCGTTTTTGGACATCGGTTTGGATGGCAACCGGTGTTGCGAACCTTTGAAAAGAGGTCTCTAAGTGCTAGTCTTTGAAAACAACACTGCTCTCTTTTTTCGTTTTTGTCTTTCTGAGTTGAGACTATTTTAAGCCTTACCGGTACTCCTTTTTTGAATTGAAGGCTGATTTCAATTGTGATTGGACAAGCGGTTTACGGACTGATATGGTGAATTATTGGCAGCTCCCAACACGGTAGTATAACCATCCTATGAATTTGTGGCATGGTCTCGACAGTGATCTTGTGGCTCAAGAGTTATGACTGTGTTCCTCGATGCGGCAGAATGAAGTGGGTGACCGAGGATCACACGACCAAATGGCGGCCTTTCTATGTGTTTTCAGCCCAGCTTTGTTGATCAATTTTTTTGGGTGGGGCATGACTTAGTCCACAGACAGTGGAAATGCCTTCTTTTTCCTCATTGGTTTTGACACTCGTAAACAGTTGAAATCATAATATGGACACCATGTTCCAAATCCATTCATTCATTCATTTATTCATTCATTTTCCGATCCGCTTTATCCTCACTAGGGTCGTGGGGGGTGCTGGAGCCTATCCCAGCCGTCTTTGGGCAGTAGGCGGGGGACACCCTGAATCGGTTGCCAGCCAATCGCAGGGCACACATAGACGAACAACCATCCACGCTCACACTCAAACCTAGGGACAGTTTTTGAGTGTTCAATCAGCCTTCCACGCATGTTTTTGGAGTGTGGGAGGAAACCGAACTACCCGGAGAAAACCCACGCAGGCCCGGGGAGAACATGCAAACTCCACACAGGGAGGCCGGAACCGGAATCGAACCCTGCACCTCTGCACTGTGAGGTTGACGCACCCACTGGTCCACCGGGCCGCCGTGTTCCAAATTATGATGCAAATAATGTTTTTTTTTCCCTGACCTTTACAAATAGTATATGTAAATGGCACTCAACCTAATTTATAAGTCATCGTCTGTTCGAGAATAATTGAAATGATTTTTTAAAAATTCTCCCAATGATAACTCAGTTTTTTTTCAAAAAGGAAAAACAATTTTTATTTAAATGCAACCGAAACACTGTGAAACGTGGTTATAAAATAAGCAACGCCAGTATTCTCTTTGCTCCTCTTGGGCATATTTATTTAATACATAAATCCACAAATACATAAATAATACGTTTTATGTGGATTATTTATAAAGTCCAAAACATTTCACCAAACTATGGGTTTGAGGCAGGACAAGTGATATCAAAGCATAGATTCAAGTGCCAAGTGTAAAATATCCACTTGACCTGGCTATTGAAAACATAACGACTAGTAATTCAGCCACGCAGACGGTTAATTCCGCCCGGCATTGACGTGACATCCTCTTTACTAGACGTCTCCCTGAAACAGGATCGAAAAGCCTCACCTCGTTTCCCCAAAACATTTCTACCTCTTCGCTCAGTCATCTGCAGACAGTAGACGATAGAAAGATGAGCCACTAACACGCTGACCCATCTTAACTTCTGTAAACACTGTCGCGTGGTACACTCGCCTGTCTTGTGTGAGGGCAGTGAAGAATCAGTTCCCACTCAGTGACGCTGTGAATGTGGGTGTGAATGGTTGTTGTGCGCCTTTACATGTGCCCTGGCGACCAGTTCAGGTTGTAGTTTGCCTTTCGCCCGAAGTCAACTGGGATAGTCTCCGGCATTCACCCCCCTCCCCCATGTTGCGACCCTGTACGGAATAAGCGGTGTTGGGAAGAAAAAAAAACAACCTAAATTTGTATTTATTTTGTATTTTTGTGTATGTTTCCAATGGATTTTTGTGTGAGGACATAAAAGCTCGACTCACTCTCAGAGTATTGAGCATTTATGACCTTTCTAGTCAACTGCAGTTTTTGTGAAAATGAGCCAAAATGTCTGAGTCAATGCACGTGTCAAAAAGTCACATCACGTTTGCTTGTGGCATCACTTTGACTCGAGAAAAATTGTGCAGACACCACCCGCGAGCTCACCACCACCACCAACAGATCGCCTGAACAATTGCTTTATCACCTCTGTTGTTTTTGTCTTCTTTTGGAATTTTGAGCCACAAGGTGCTTTTGTTTTCTTGCTTCTTCCGACCCAATTCGCATCCAAAACACGTGTCAGGAAGTTAATTATTGCCCTGCACAACAAAGTTGTTGCTCCCAGCCTGCACCCTCAAAGGCTGACATGAATTCAAAAAGAATTATCTACAAGCCAAATGTTTGTCTCTTCTGGAAAGATTTCTTTTCTTTTTTTTTCGGTCTGAACACTTATTGGTGTTCATTTTGAACTTTTTCTGCACCACAAACAGAAAACAAACGCTGGACCACTTGCATCGTGGTATCACTCAAAAATCATAGCTCTCAATTGTTCCTGTTTATCACTCCATCCATTCATTTTCTAGAGCACCTAATTTAAGGTACACGTTAGCTGAACCTGATAACATGATAAAATGTCCACTGTAGTCACCGCTGTCCCTGAAAGGGTTAAAGGGCCCATACAGACAAAAGAAAAATAATTCATACTCACATTCATTGCACAATTTAGGTTCTTCTATTAACCAACCATACATGCAGAAAACATGCAAAATCCACATCGGAAGGCTTTAGCAGAGATTTGAACCGGTAACCTTAGACATATTAACCGCTATTATCCTGTGCTACAGCAAAACCTAAGTACTTTTTTTTTTTTTTTTGACTGGTTCACTTCACTTCACAGGACAAATTATGTTTAACGGCGATTCCACTGTAACGTGATCTCTTGGGTTACGAATGTCAGTTTTGAGTCATTCCTCTAAATTTTAAAAGACACCCTTAGCAGTTTTTTTTTCTATTCTGTTACAAAACTAACACGCAGCTCCATCGAAACCAAAATGACCAGTCTTTGATCCCCCCCCGCCCCCAACCACCTGCCATATTACATATAATGTGACTGAGATCAAGAGAAAATACATATGTGAGTTCAAAATGCATTTTACATCAAAAGGACGGACTAAAACATAGCTTTGATTTGGCAAACCCATCCTTGTAGATATTTGAGTGCTCGGCTTTGAAGCATCCACACCGCCTGATTATGCTTCTGTGCCATTTCTTTCTCCATTTCTCTTTCACAGAGATCGAATGATTCTTACTTTTTTTTTTCTTTTTTTTTTTTTTTTTTAGATACGTGAGAGCTGAATGATAAGCGAGACAGGAAGATGCTGTGCTTATTTCCATGGCAGCCATCAGCACTGAAGAGAAGCTCGCCGATGATACTGATGAAGAGATGTGCGTGCTTGGAAGCTCCAGGAAATCACACAGAGGTATTGCCATTGTTCTCTTCTGCTTCGCCCTGTTTAAGTCATCTTGCCACATAAAGTCGTTTTTTTTTTTTTTTTTTGGCCAACAATAGGAAGGGACGTGTTTATATTTTATCCCTTATAAATTAATTGTTATTTTTTGTTATGGGCACGCAGTACTTTAATAAATAATCAACTGTGTTTGGCGACATAAATCATAGCTTAGATTTATCACGTCTTTGATTAAAAGTAGAGGAGGAAGGTCATGTTGAAGCCAGGACGCTTTCATCCTTCATTCCTGCCATTGGCTTGTTCTTTTTGTTGTTGTTGTTTGCTTTTTTTTGTTCATTCTTAGTTCATCGCTGAATAAAATAAGAACAAATGTGAACATGAAGTGACAAAAGTGTGCCATGACTTTAATGCTCACCTAAATAAAATAAGCATGGACACCTTTGACATTTGATTGGGTAATGTGGACAGAGCGGCGGAAAACAAAGAATGTGGCCGCCTGTGATCAAGAGAATGAGAAAACGCCTAGCAACATACCCGCACTGCATCTGGTGTCTGCGAGAAGGAATAAATATTCAGGGTGCATGATAGTGGGAGCTTCACAGGTGCATATATTACCTGTATCAAAGCAGCCAGGAGACTGGAGGAATGGTAAAGGTAAAGATAGAAAAGCAATGCTTCTTAACCCGCAAGCTTTTTGTCCTCAAGTAAAAATTAAATAAATCAAAAAAAAAAAACCTCCTTTTTTTTGGGGGGGGGGGGGGATTGACATGCTTATTAAATCAAGAACATGGACATTTTGTAACTCAATTCATACACACAAAAAAAAAAAGACGATATAAATGAACCTAACATGCATGTTTGACATACAATGCCGTCAGTGGCCGTGAATGGGATATCAAGTGTCACCGTTTAAGAAATTGTAATGTGAATTTAGCAGGAAGACGTACAAGAAGTTCAGTCGGATATGACACTTATGACTCTAAAAAGTATGACAACTTCATAATAGAAGGATACACCAGAATGGGAATTGAGAAGCATTTCGCAATTCTGATTTGATTACCTATACAGTATTGCTTATCGGTCCAATTACTTATCCAAATCTCAGTTGGTGATGTTATTTTTCATCGGGTATGCAATGTGCCACGAGGGTCAACTTCAAAATAAAAGCAAAACAAGTTATACTGTATCTGGATATTCATGCCTTACTTAGCTTTTATTTTGAAGTTGCCCATCAGAAGCAATCGTGGCAGATGACTTCCTTTGAATTCAGGCTGGCCTATTCTTAGTGTGCCTTAAGACTTGATGTTTTTATATTGCACGATCTATATTGTTACATTGCGCAGATTCCTGCATGGGAGATATTCCCCGTTTTGTTGAACTTAGAGCTTTGCAAGTGTTGCAATCGTAGCCCCCAGTTTCATCTTTTCACATGAAATGGTTTCGAGTATTTCTCTCTTGATGAAAAGTTGGAAAAGATCAGAACCAAAATACACTTCTTGCGTGTGATCGTTACTCATTTGTGACGTGAGAAGAATCAAAAGGGAAATCGCGAGGCAAGCAAACATGCACTTGTTAACTGGGAAGCGGTTCTCAAAAAGAACCGTTTTTCTATTCCCATCCCGACATGCTAGTCCAGGGGTGTCAAACTCATTCTTGTCACGGGCCGTGCATCTTCCCTCGGTGGGTCGATACGACAATACAACGGTGAAACTGAATAAATGTTATTACTTGTACACAAGTAATTGATGTATTACCAGTTTTGAAACCAGTCAAATCAACTATAGTAGTTTGTTCAATAATTGTTTGAGTGGGTGTTAACAGGGAAACAAAATTATCACAAAAATCTCAACATTATTTATTATACATGACAATTTGACATGTTGGTGCAATTTTAGCAAGGATCATGGAAGTTAACGCATATGATTTGCTTTCACGGGCCACATAAAAAGATGTGGCGGGCCAGATCTGGCCCCCGGACCTTGACTTTGACACCTGTGCGCTAGTCTAATATCATCGTCTTTTACTGTAAATTATTTTGCTGTAAATTATTTTATCGGCGTCATTCTGAAACATGGCATGTCAAAAATGTTCATTTTTATTTTTCACAAATGTAAACTATTGGTCAGTGTGTGTGCTTTAAAGTGTTTAAAATGTCTTGCGCTCTTTAATGACACATTAGTAATGCCTTTTTGTTTGGTCTCCTGAAAAGTGATGATTTTTTTGTTTTTGTTTTTTTGCGGTGCAAGGATTTTGCCTCATACCAGCAATTGATAAAATAAAATGAATAGAAGGAGGGCTGCCGTTTGACCTAAGGATGAATGAATTCCAGTTATATGACATTCGACCGCAATAATTGATTCAGACCTCGAACAAATCGGATCGTGTTTGCCGACTGAAGTTTGGCTGGACAACCGCAGTCAATTCTTACGCTTTAGGCATCGTTTATCTAATCGCGGTTTACCTTTTCAACCTGCGAAAAGGAAACGCAGAATCGCGGCTCTCTTTTAATAAACGCAATGCGCCACCTTATCTCACTTATGCAGCGGGATCCACGAAATTCCTCGCACGGCGCCGTAGCGCATGTAAATATTCAGTCAGCCCCAATGTGCAAGACATCTCTTTCAATATCTCTCTGAATGATTGGCCTTAGAACTCTGCACTGAATCACATATAAGAAATGTGCTGCAAAAATTGTGATTGAATTTACACCTCCTACGGAGACAAGTGTGGTCTGCCATAATTCCCCACGGTGCACACTCACAAGGGAGGGAGTGGGGGGGAGGGATTCACAATCTCGCTCTTTCTTTCTCTTCCTCTGGCAGCCAACAGAGTGTTGCTGTCCCTGCCCTCCCCGAGCCGGCCACGTCCAGGCACTTCATAGCAATGTAAATGGTGTGGAAAGTAGCGCGTAGGGAGCTGATGACCAGAGCCGTTCTCCTCCAAGGCTCGTACGGGCAAATGAAAGCCATCGCCTCCTCGCTCGAGCCCGCCGTTAGCCTTTATCTCACCTGCGAGGCTTGGCTCTCATATTTGCTGTTTGTCTCCACTCCCGCTAAATATATCAATCCCGAGCAGGTCGGGTGGGTCGCGGCAGCCTGGCAATCATCTGCGATTGCACTCTTGGCAGTCGTTTCAGTCGTAATTAAACTTTAATATACCTATTTTTAGTTGTAAAACCGACCAATAATAACTTAGAAGCACTTTGAGGGGCGAGAGGTGGGAGCACAGCCGCCACAAATACCTGTGAGCGTCTGTTACGCTGTCATGTTAAGTCAAGGCATGCGTGAAAGCGCATTCAAATGGAGGCCTGATCAAAAGAGACGCAGGCAGACAAACACTTTGCCATGCGTATGAGTTCGTTTGATGCCTAAATCAGATGCGGCATTTTTGAACATTCCCCCTTCACACATCGGACCCTTTTATCCTTTCAAAGTATCCCCTTTAAAGCTCGCTTTTACCTGGCACCCTGCGACACCGGCTCAAGGCACCTGCCATGTAAAGCCAGCGGCAGCCGCAATCTCAATCAAAATGAAAAAAAAAAAAAAAAAAGCCGTGGCGCTTTAGCACCTGCATGTTAACTGTTTGTCTACCTCGGCGGCGCCCGACGTCAGGTGGAGCCGCACCTCAACGCCGGGCCGAGTCTCTGCGCATAAACTATAAACAACGTCGCGCCACGGGAGAGCGCCGAGGCATCTTGACAACGTCGGGAAGAGTCCACTCACCCTGCTCGAAAGGCTGCCCATTAACTGATGTGGCTTTCATCTTGAGGGCCTCCCTGGCAGACGTGTCACACTGGGAGCCTCGATTAGTATCCTGGTCACTATCAGCCTGGTCACTATCACCATGGCCACTGTCTCGGAGGCTCGCTCGTTCTGCATCCTTAAATGTAGAGCTGCGGCAGGAAGGGACAGAGGAGAGGTGGGTGGGGGGAGTGAGGACACATCTAACTTGCCATTCTCACCGCGTGAGCGCGGCTGTTTGATAGCCAGGCGGGCTTGATACTGGGATGAAGGAGCTCTAAAGACGCGGTCAGGAAGTGCGTGCATGTGAGCTCTTACCTTTGAACAAACGGCTGCCTGCTGCCAGCGTAATTGGGCTCGGAGGGGAAGTTTTCTGTCTGAAAATGACAATGAAAATTGTGTTTTTATTCAGGGGGAAAAAAAAAAACAAAAGAGCTTCACACTGTTCATTGATGACATTAGACACAGGCGAGGATTGAAATGATCTGTGAAGCCTCTTTGACACAGCCTGTTCAAACTGGGATTTAGCTGCTTGTTTTTTTTTTTTTGTTGTTGTTGTTTTTTTCGGGTCGCTGTTCTGTGGAAACGACACTAAATGGCTTTCGAGGTAGTATTGTATCAGTGAAGTTTCAGTCCCGACACTCACTTCTGCCTCCGCTGTCCGATTGCGTCTGTTACACAACAAGGGACACAGAGTGCAAACTTTTGAGAACTTTCTTTTTCCTTCTCTTTATGAATAAACGTTAATGTTATGATATAAAATCAGTTTTATTCAATAGAGGACAAGCGCATGTGTCGGTACGACGTTTCATTGAACACACGATTGCTCTTTCTTATCTCGTTCACAATAACAAAGTCTACATTTCGATTGTACTCCCATAATTTGAATTATCAATCCTAATGTACACATGGCAGCATTTTTAACCCTTTCAGGGTCAGCGGTTACTACAGTGGACAGTTTATCATGTTATCTGGATGCAGGGTGCATGAAAGGGTTAAAGTACACTTTTACATTTAAATATTTGACAATAAAGTTGACTTGAACTTGAATTTGAACTTAAATTAGGGAGGCAAGAGCACTGTTTGGAGATTGTTTTCAAAAATTCTCAGGGGCACAAAATGTATGGTTCCCGCCCAGACGCTAGTGCTAATTTGTGACATTTCTGATTCTATAACGCTTTTAGGGGTAGGGACAAAATCCGGACATTGTAAATTATCAGTGCGACATATTCAAATATTAATCTTATTACTTTATGTTATAGATCGCTGAATTCCTACATTTACTTTGTCATGTTACTTCTGGGCGAAGGGTGGGCGGGGTTTTTTGAGTCACGTCTGCGTTCCAGCAATGACGAATCTGCACGTAAATTGTAACGTAGGGTACGTCTATCACTAATCTATGACACGGCAGTACGAATAAAATTTCTGTCAAATTTGACACTCTTAGTCTTTGAAAGCAATAAAAAAAATATGCACCGTTTGTAACTTTGAAACCTTGTATTTCGGAACAGTCATAAACCGAGCCCCCCCCCCCCCCAAACAGCATTTCACCTCCCATCTATATGACCGACTCAAGTCATTCATTTCTGTCATTCATTTCTTGGCGTCTTGCCTCCGTCAAGTACTCCTGACATTTATAGGGTAAAGTTCTGAGCAACTCAAGTCGTTCCTTTCATTCCTTTCTGTAAGTTTTGCCTTCAATTACTAAGAAATCGGAATGCACTGGATGGGTTTTTCTTCCGAGATATAGAATGTTACATCATTCATTTACTCATTGTTAGTTTGATGCCTCCGTCAATCACTGAAGGTAAGAACACTTTTCTTTTCAATGCTGAAATGTTTTGCTGCAGCAACGCTCTCTTTAAGAACCTCCGTAACCTTCGGTGCCATTTCTACTCTGCAAGTACTACGTTGTGGTGAAGACATCTACGGTGTCACATGGTGTTATCAGTTATAAGCCAGTTATAAGAAAGCCTGCAACCAGAGCCATAACAGAAAATTTGACATTAAGCTGCTTTTGCTTTTTACACAGAACCCAGTGAAGCGGGATATTACAGCAACTGCGTGCGCTTTCACACACCAATACGGCATCCGGCCATCAAATGGTTCAGTGACTGAAGTCAGCCCCAGAATTTGATGCGAGAGCACTTGTTGGATGTACACATTGTTTTCAACGCAACAGGACAGGAAAAGTGAGTTTCAGCTGTCAAAATTTACAACCCTTGTCCTGCCTTTGGTACTGCCTCTGTTATGAATCAGGTGCAAGGTCCTAGGAAGCTGCTTTTTTTACGTGATCTTATTATAGAATAGGTTTGTTTTTTGTTTTTTTTCCATCACCTGGCAGAGATGAAGACATGATTAGAACAGGGCGCCATTGTGACCATATGTGCCTCTTTGGCAAGGCATAGAAAGGAAAGCATTAGCGCTTTCATTAGTGCCCTTTTCCCTTCATCTTGAGAATAATGTGTTTGTGTTGATCACACCCATGTAGCACAGCGACTGGTGACAGCGCCAGGCCTTGTCATCTGTGCTACCATCTCCAAATGTGAGAGTGACCCAGATATGTACATCGTGTATGGACACACAATTCCAGGCAGCGCAACAAGCAAGCGCTGGCCAATTAGCATGTTAGCTGGCGAGGCTTAGACGAGTCTGCCATATAGGGCCGCCTCGTGCCAACTTTGGATGAGGCTCGGCAGATCTGACCCATATTTGGGATGAAAAAATGCGATTGTCGAGGTTACGCCGTGCGCATCTCACTGTCTGGCGCACACCGGTTGGGTAATGCGATCTGACAAGCTGCTCAAACACCTGTCCGCTTCAACATCTCAGGCTGGGTTTTGTTTTCTCTCCACAGCCCAGGATCTGCTGGGGGTCACAGTGGCCTTGTTCAAGACTCACAGTGTTTGCCTTTCCCACTCACACAGACAGAGAGAAAGAGAGAGAGAGAGAGAGAGAGAGAGAGAGAGAGAGAGTATTTCCTCATTCTGTGTCCTGCAGGCACTTTGCAAGAGAACAAATGTGGATAAAACATTAACCTTATTAGTAGAATGCCAACTAAAGCGAAGCTGTCATATCATGCTTCATTTGCAAAGTGTTTGCCTTCAGCGAGCAAGCTGAAGCGATAACGATGTCAGATATTTTCCCAGAGTTGTACAGCAAAACAGAGAAGCATACAGTGTCTCACCTGTATCACGGACATCCTGTTTGCCGTTGTGTCTGTGTTCAGCCCGGCAAAGCTGGAGTGGCAACCCGGCCTGGGTACCGTCAGGCTGTTCGGGGTCGTCTTCAGGTACATGACCTCGGATCTGGGCAGCGTGAGCGGCAGGGGGCTCTGGTAGTCGAAGCAAATGGGCGAAGTAATGAGCGAGGGGCTGCTCACCACATTCATGCGGCTGGCCGAATCTCTCTCCTCCATCTCACTCTGCACCAGCATGATGTCACTCTTGTTGATCCGCTTCTTCTTGCCCTTCCCCACCGGAGGATTGGAGTACTCAGGCATTCGGCAGTTATAATTCCCGCTCTCTTTATCTTGATGCTTGGACTTGACAGCGATGGCCGTCATGACGGCTAAGAGCATGACAGAGATAATGCAGAGGGTAACGATGAGGGGCAGGGATACATCCCAGTGCTGCTGCTCGCCGCTCACGCCGGAGCCCCCGCCACCTGCTGCTGCTTCCGCGTTGGCCTTGATGACCAGCTTGGCTACAGCGGATAAGGGCGGCTTGCCGTGGTCGGTTACCTTTACCACCAGCTCAACCACGGGCGAGACCTCTTCCCACAGGGCGTGGGTGGTCCGGACTTCGCCGCCTATAGGATCCATGTCGAACAGGTGGTCGTCGTTCCCTTCGGTGATCTCGTACGTCAAGTGGCCGCTCTCTCCGTGATCGTGATCCACCGCTTTCACCGTAGCCACGATGTAGCCGATGCCCACGTTGCGAGGCACCGGGATTTCCGCTGTATCGTTTTGAAGGAGCGGTAAAATGATCACTGGGAGATTGTCGTTGACATCAAGGATGTTGACCCTGACGGTGGAAGAGCTCTCCATGTGAGGGGTGCCTCCGTCTTTAGCCTGAACTTTGAATTCAAAGGATTTTGTTTGCTCATAGTTAAAAGAGCGCGACGCATATATGGCTCCATTGGTGGGGTTAACAGAAACGTACGTATAAACAGACACTTCGCCGATATGCGACGGCAAAATGGAGAAGGTTACTGTGCCGTTGCGGCCTACGTCCGGGTCGTGGGCCAGGACGGAGCCCAGATACTCGCCCGGGATGTTGTTCTCGGGCACCTGCAGCACGTACACGACTTTAGTAAAGCGGGGCGCATTGTCGTTCTCGTCCAAGATTTTCACAGTGAACGACTTGGTGTAGTTCAACGAGGGGATGCCATTGTCTCTGGCCACGATCGTGACGTTATATTCGTCTTTGGTCTCCCGATCCAAAGGTCTGTCGGTGAGCAGCGTGTAAAAATTGTCATTGTTCTCTTGCAGACGGAAAGGAACGTTTCCCAGCACCCGGCACTGGAGCTGACCATTCCGGCCGGAATCTTTATCCGTCACTCTGACAAGCGCGATGACAGATTCGGAGGGTGCCGCCTCGCTGATGGCACCCTGCCGCACAGAAACAAAACTGATTATTGGTGAGTTGTCATTTTTGTCAAGCACTTTGACAGTAATTTTCGCATGGCCCGGTATGGGATTGGGCCCAAGATCCTTGGCCTGCACATCAAATTCTATGATGGGATTCTCTTCATAATCAATTTCCCCCTGAACCTTGATGACTCCAGTATTGGGATCAATGGAGAACAAATCTTGTATTCGCTCAGATGCGTATCCTGTGAAGGAGTAAACCACCTGTCCGTTGCTCCCCTCATCATGGTCGGTGGCGTTCAAATCTATGAGTACTTTTCCAGGCGGGGAATTCTCGGGGAGTTCCAGCACATAGGAGGATTTCTCAAAAATGGGGCTATTGTCATTCGAATCAGTCACCCTGACATTGATTTGCATGGAGCCTGATCTGGGATACTCTCCCCCATCTATGGCGGTGAGGAGGAGGGTGTGATGGTTCTGGTCTTCCCTATCCAAAGGTCTCTGAACCACCAGCTCCGGATAAATAGTCCCGTCGCCTCTTACTTTTAAATCCAGCGAGAATGTATTGTAATCATCTCTGGTGACCTGATAAGTCTTGATCCCGTTCTCTCCGGTATCCGAGTCATGTGCGATAGTCAGAGGGAAGCGCGTGCCCGCTGCTGCGTTCTCAGAGATGTCGATGTTAACGTGATCGGAGGGGAAACCGGGCGAGTTGTCGTTGATGTCCTGGATGTCGATCTTGATCATGCATATTTCCTTGTCATTGGCAAACACTTCCATGGAGAGCTGGCACTTTGGGTTCCGCCGGCATAACGTCTCCCTGTCAATCCTTTGTTTGGTGAAAATAAGTCCACTCTCCGGGTCGACGTCCACCAGGTGTGGCGCGGAATTCTCCAACACTCTGAAGTTGGATTTTTTCCCTCTCTCCAGGGTCCCATAACCGCCGTCTTTCGCGATATTACCGATGACAGTGCCGGGTCCTTGCTCCTCCGGGACAGAATAACTGAGGTTTTTCAATGTCAGGGCTTTAACCCACAGCAGAAGGAAGATGGGAACAGAGAGACGCATCCCTTCAGTTGGATATGTGTTACTGGCACACAGGAGAAAGAGGAGGAAAAAAAACCTTGACTTTCAACCTGTTGATTATTCCGCAAAACCTTTAGAGGACTAAATCCAAAGATGGCATATTGCTGCCCAGCTAATTGGATATCAAATCGATTTGTGAACCCCCTTTAATGGGCATTAGCTCTCTCACATGCCGCTCTGCGATGATGAACTCTTTCTGTAAACAAAGATGACCGCCCAACGACACCCCGTGCATGAATTAAAGATCAAATTCAACATTGGAACGCTTTGTTTCCCCTCTCAGCGGGGCTCTCGCAATGAATAATCGATGAGAATAAAGTATTAATATTCCCCTCTGCGTCCAAGGTTAAAGCATGGTGAAGGTTAGCGCTTGCCTTTCAATCGGAAGAAGAAAAAGGAGGAGGAGAAGGAAAAAAAAAAAAAAGACCAAAAAAAGGCGCATTGCCCTCATGCGACATCTGCACGCTGCAAAGCTCCAAAAGGCACCATCGCTCCACGTTACCACCGCCGGCGCATTGTGACTTGAGTCTCCGGTGCGGCACACTGTTGCATAGGGGGGCTGCCTGCCTGCCTGCCTGTGTGTGTGTGTGTGTGTGTGTGTGTGTGTGTGTGTGTGTGTGTGTGTGTGTGTGTGTGTGTGTGTGTGTGTGTGTCTCCTCCAGTAAAGTGCACGGAGCAAAGGAGCGGGGCTGCAGCCGCTCGCTTCGCCCTCCCCTTCCTCCGGCGCAACCTTTTGTGTGCTCCTTTCGCAGAGGAACACTCACAAAGGCCACTTTTTCTTTCCCCCTTTCCTTTTTTTTTCGTGGTCCACTAATCAGTTCGCTAATCCCGTAATCCAGTCCGATTCCAAGGCGCTCCTGTTTGCATCCATCAAACCGCCACGCTTATCTGTTGCACGGCGGAGGAAGACGAGAGCGAGCCGGAGAGAGCGAGCGAGAGGGAAATAAGGTGCGAGATGATTGAAGATAATCAGAATGAGTCGCGTCTCCTCCTCAACTGTTGAAAGCTGCTCCCTTCCTCTTCTTCCTCCGTTCTGCTCCCCTCCCTCCTCTTTGCCGCACACTCCCCGCGCCTTAACGTGCGCGCACTTTAGTGCTCCCCTTCGCAGCTCCGGTGAGTGAGCGGTGACAGATCTCGCCGTCTAAGGTGGAGCACATGGATGGCTCGAAGAAAGGCTGTACTAGTGCTACGTGATTCATTTACTGATGTGCGCGCAGTATCAGTGGGGATGGAATACACCCCCCACCAAAAAAAAGGGAGGGGGAAATGCCCGTGGTGGTGGTGGTGGATGTTGCTCCAAACACACACTGATGTGAACCGGTGGAGGGATTAAGAGTGGATCAATGAACGCTACATGCGGTCACTCCAGTGAAGAGTCAGGATAAGATGTGAAATTAAAAAGGATCTCGTTAAATCACCCCTCTCCCCGCCCCCACCCTTCTCAAAGCACCTCTCTGTATGACAGCGTGCAGTTCAGCCAACTGATTGAGGGAATAAAACGTTGGTTTTCCGATGTATCACATATGATTGTGAGGGTGTACCTAATATTCTGGGCATGAAGTTTTCCTTTCACCTGTTGTTATTCATTTGATACCAGCCAGAGGTGGTAAAAGTACTCACACTTGATCCAAACATGTAGAAGTAAAAAAAAAAAACACTGTCAAAGTAGATTTGACCAAAAGACATTTTTAAAAGGCGAGGTGCCCTTTGTCACCGATTCTGTTCATAACCTTTATGGACAGAATTTCTACCGGTTTGGTGGCCTCAGTGTTGCATTTCTGCTTTTTGCAGATGATGTGGTACTCTTGGCTTCTTCAAGCAGGGCTCTCCAACTCTCACTGGAGCATTTCGCAGCCGGGTGTGAAGCGGTTGGGATGAAAATCAGCGCCTCCAAATCTGAAACAATGGTCCTCAGTCGGAAAAGGGTGGAGCGCCCTCTCCAGGTCGAGGATGAGATCTTGCCCCAAGTGGAGGAGTTAAAAATTATCTTCGGGTCTTAATCACGAGTGAGGGCAGCAGGGAGCGGGAGATCGACAGGTGGGTCGGCACAACGTCTGCTGTGATGCGGACGTTGTATCGATCCGTCGTGGTCAAGAAGGAGCTGAGCCAAAAGGCTAAGCTCTCAATTTACTGGTCGTTCTACGTCCCATATCTCACCTATGGTCACGAGTTATGGGTCATGACCGAAAGAAAGAGATCCTGGATACAAGCGGCCGAAATGAGTTTTCTCCGCAGGGTGTCTGGGCTCTCCCTTAGAGATAAGGTGAGAAGCTTGCCAGATGAGGTGGCTCGGGCATCTGATTAGGATGCGCCCTGAACGCCTCCCTGGTGAGGTGTTCCGGGCACGTCCCACCAGCAGGAGGCCCCGGGGATGACCCAGGACACACTGGAGAGACTATGTCTCCCAGCTGGCCTGGGAACGCCTTGAGATTCCCTGGGAAGAGCCGGAACAAGTGGCTGGGGAGAGGGACGTCTGGGCTTTCCTGCTAAAGCTGTTGCCCCGCGACCGGACTCCGAATAAGCAGTAGAAGATGGATGGATGGATGGATGGATGGAGGTGCCCTTGAGAAAGTTATCTTCCTTACCATGCCAGCTCAAGTGGTGCACAATCATGGTGCACCTTTTCCAATCTGAATCTGAAACATACATCAGAGACAAAAAAAAAAAAAAAAAAAAAACTTACTTTGGTTCATCGTTTGTTCAACATTCAACAGTCTTATTTGTCATATGCGCATTAAAACAATGATAGCAATGACCAATGAAATTCTTACTGTGCTGTTGAATTGGTGAAACGTGTTACCGTAGCTTTGCACAAATGATGAATTAGATAATAGGAACGATTCACTGAAAGAAATACACCATCATCACAAGTTTGATAAGGCAGCAACTGGTTGATTTTAGGCTGGCGCAAGACACAACTGATTGGCCACAAGTCATTCTAGTATCTGACACCATCAAACTTCTCTTCACTAAGGCATTGCATCATGGTCATTAATGCTCCTCCATGTCGCTGCTGTCCCTGCTTTTTTTTTCATTCTTATAGGTGGCGGCGTGCGAAATGGCTCATGACTGGTGAGGCGCTGACTTCTCTGGAGTCAGATATAAAAATAGGAACTCAAAATAGAATATTAGCCTATATTGAAAAGTTGACCTTCATTAAAACATGTCCATCGACTGGTTAGCACGTCCGTCTCACAGGGCAGAGGTGCGGGCTTTGCATGTTCTCCCTGTGTCTGTGTAGGTTTTCTCTGGGTATTCCGGTTTCCTCCCACATTCCAAAAACATGCATAGCACGTTAATGGAACACTCTAGATTGTCCCTAAGGTGTGGTTGTGAGCACGAATGACTGTCTATGTGTGCCCTGCGATTGGCGGGCAACAGGTTCAGGGTGTCCCCCACATACTGCCCGAAGACTGTCACGTAGCGAGGTGGTGGTGGACCCCAAAAAAAGCAGGCAGGAGGGAGGAGCAGGGTGTACTTGAAGAATTGTATTAAAACTCAGAGAACTAAATCCAAAACAAACAAAGTCCAAAGTATCAAACAAAACACATGACCGAAGATAAAACATAACAATGACCAAAACCTGACTGAAACAAACATGACAGCAAACAGCAACAAACAAACATGACAGTAGCAAAAAAGCAACAAACAAACATGACAGTAGCACAAAGCAACAATGACCCGACCATGATTGCTCGGGCTGGGAGTCCTTTTAAAGGCACTAATTACCTAATGACCAACAGGTGTGCAGCTGCAGGGGAAGCCCTACAGTGCCACCTGTTGGTCCCAAACCGAATCATGACAAAGACGGCTGGGATAGGCTTCAGTCAGCACGCCCCATGACCCTTGTGAGGGTAAGCCGTATTGGAAAATGGATGGATGAAACATGCCTCAAAGGAGGTCACCAATGAATTTCTGAATATTTATTTTCAAAGCTTTCAATTACGTTTCAATCAATTCCATGTTGTTCAACAATAACAAAACAAAATATTAAACATGAGATCAAATTCACTATTGTTGGGCTGATTTTTTCTCTTTTTTAAAAGAAAAAAGCAAAAATGTTCTGAAAGCCTCAATTGTAAAATCTCCTAGGGTGTTTGTTATCCTAGCCGCATGACTGATGTTTTTAACAAACCAATCTCAGTCAAAATCGATCAAGAATTCAACAAGTTCTGATGAATTTATGGGAGCCAAATGCGGTTACTCTAACACAACTGAGTGGAAGAAAGACAAACAGCAACATCTTTTGTGTGAGTCACGCTTCTTGTGTGCGGGGTCAATGGAGACGTTACGTTCAAGGCTTCGCTTCACTTCTTGCTCACTCATTTGAAAAGAAATACAAATTCAGCTATTTTAACGCTAAAGTCATTGAGAATTATCGGATTGGAAAGAAAATCAATGATCAATGTAAAGCATGGACCATGGAACTAAAATGGAAGACAATTCAATGTTTTTATTATGATTGTTATTATTTTTTTACGCATCACATGAAGAGAACGGCCAACAGGGGGCGGAACTGCCTCACATTCCTACCCTGATTGCACGTCCCTGCTTAAAGATCCCCAAGATCGCACTCAATCAAGCACAATCTCAACCCCCAGTTGGCTTTCTCTCTGGTTACCTCTTTTTTACGATTTGTCATCATCCGTACAGACTGACAAAGAAACAAGTCTATTTGGACAGAGTACGGCGTAGAAAGTACAGAGAGTAAAAGTCAGATCGATAGTCAAGTTAAAGAACAGATACATGAAAATCTCTTTGATAGCGAAGTTTTGCACCTCGAGACTTCACACTGCCGATATTCGCTTTGTCAAAGCAGGGCACACACCTAATTACAACTGGGCCAAATTTGAACATATTCCCTCCCTTGCGATCAAACTCAGCAAAGGCTCGTTTCTCAGGTGTCAAAAAAAAAAAAAGTGTTTCCCAACCTTGATTGAGCCAAGAACATATTTTCCATCACAATCTCAAGGCACACAAACAAAATAAAAATGTCCCTTAATGTGCAAAGAGTGTAGAGGCCGATAATGATGACTTCATCTCAATTTCCCTCCCGGGTGTGAAATCTTTAATTGAACACAAAGCTATTATTGTTTTGTATGAATGTCAACACGGGCGCGTTGTAAATCATGCCATCGAATGGAAGAGCAACAATTGTTCTGCCTGTCACTGTGTGACGCTGGCATTGCTACTGTAGATGAACAAAGAATGACTTGGTGTTAATCAATCCAACTGATATGCCAAGGCACATCGGTTGGGAATCACCAGCGTGACAGACTAAGTGATTCTCATGTGGTGCGGAGAGTGATCAGCGATGTTTTCCACTCTGATCTGCTCAGGAAACGGTTCGGGATGACAATCATAACTGTTAAACGCTTTCACCATTTCTGATGGTAAATTCGTGTGTGTTTAAGTGGTCAACGTGGTGACTTCAAACGGAATAGCCTATTCGGAAGCAACCTGAAATTTGCACTGTTGCAGGACGCAAATAGAGGGCAAGCTGTCGGTGGTGTGTCGTTTGTAATAATTCTCCTAAAAATTGAAAAGAGGTTGCACCTGAAAGGCAGTAAGCATACCATCTTGTTCCAT